TTATTTTCGTTTAATTTTCGTGGTACTTGTGGAAGTATAAGACGCAGTGTGACCCGAAACACTTAAGAAAGTAGTAGTTAAGAAATTTAATTTTTTTATTTCATTATATAATTTTGAATGAATGCTAATCTTGTGGGAAAGTGTCTTGATGAAGAAGTAAGATACATAGTATAAACCCAAACCTTGACCAAATACCATTACAAAATGTCTCTTGATGGCTGAGTGAGTTCTGATTGCTTCCAGTTAGTTCAGGAGTATAGTTAGCTTCTCTGCAAGAAGTTTTCGTGGAAAACATTCCTGTACTTGCATATAGCGGAATCACCAAAAAGTACAATAAAAGGAAATTCCTGCAAGAGAGTGACGATATACCACATTTGGGCAATCAGACTTTGGACGTGATTGAGTTTCGACATTCATTTAACGCTATTGAAAGAGAAGCCATTAACACCTTTCTTCAGTCCCTTACTATGAAGTTAAACCACCACTTATTACACGGACTGCCTCGTGGAATCATATTATATTTACTTTTGCACAATTGTTCCGGATATTGTAGTGGCTAAACTTGTAACTTACACTGCTTAGGTTAGGTTAGCCTGGTGGGCTCGTGAGCTATTCATAGACCAGTTATGGTCCTTAGCAATGCCAGATGGAGTGCCGTTGTCCTCAGGATCTTCCGGATGTCAGCGTTGACGTTAATTACAAGACGATCTGCGGCCTTACTAACGACACTATTCCCTTAAATGTTGAAAAGTTGCTCTATTGTTTCTGTGGTACCTTGCTGCTGTCATTTCCTGCTGTCACTTCGGTAAGTCAGACCTCTTCTGAAGGTATGTGTCGCCACCAGATTGTAACCAGTGAGTTCTAATCATGTTCCTAAAGTCTCTTTTATCAAGAGTAAGCAAGAAGTTTGTATATTACGGATCTACGGCTTTGCACTTGATCTTTGCATTTTTGCATCCTGATAAATCGTTCCATCGAACTTCAACGTTCCTTGCAATGCTCTAGTCCTGTTCGTTCGTAAACATAATGCTACTTTTACTTAATATGCTATACTAGATCTTAAATGTGTTATGAATGCTAAGGCACTAATTACCTCGTTACATGCCCTTTAGTGGGCCACCAACTCATCTAATATCCCTTTTTTTATGGTTCGACCCCGCCGACACAGATCGTTCCCTGGGTATCGTTATGCGACTTTGATAACAAGAGAGGTTGGTTTCTCCAAAATGTCAAGTGCTAAGATATTTACATACAGTCTAGATGTAGGATATATTTGGTACTCTAATGTAACCTATGATAGCATTTTCAATGCTAATCATCTTTCAGATTACTTTAGTTTGGATTAGTACCTATTTTTATACCCTAAACCTGGGTATATTAAGTTTACCACGAAGTCCGTAACTTTCAGAGGGAACGCGGAGAACTCTTTAAAATACATATACATATATGTATAGTATATAAATGATCGGTATGACGAGCCGAGTTGATATAGCCATGTCCGTCAGTTTGATATAGTTCGTTATTTCATCCAACGGTCTGTATATACGTGAACTAGTTCCTCAGATTTTCAAATTCCAATCTAAAATTTGCACAGATGCTAATTTCCCAAGCAGCTGGACCCGAAACGATCTGAGCCAAGTTCTTGTATAGAAAACTTTCTCATTTAACGAGCTATCTTCACGAAATTTGACATAGGTTATTATCTGAAGCAATTACTCAATCTCCGAAGAAATTGTTGAGATCGGATCGCTATAGCGTATTTAGCATACAAGCCGAACAATCGGAATCAAGTTCTTGTAAGGAATCTTTTGTATTTGTGAAGGGTATTATATCTTCGGTATCTACTGATATACTAGTATATAAAATGCTTATGCACGAGAGCCACGCGTTGTTCATGAATCATCCATAATTTCTAGCTGAAAACACGAACTGGAATAAACAACGGTGCATGGCAAAGCGAGTGAAATGCAAAATAATATTTTATTGGTTCATTTGAAGACTGAAGACCACACACAGGCAAAACAGTTAAAACAAACGGCAAAATAAACACAAAATGTGGGGAACAATGAGCACTCATTCATTTCATCAGCTTCGTTCATTGAAAAATTAGCGACTTTTTTGTGCTTCCAATGGATTTCGCTCGTTGTTTTGCGTTTTCTTTTGAATGCAATTGGAAATTTAATCTTTTCAGACGAAAAACATGCTGGACAATAGCAACAATGAGCAGTTTAACGTTGACTATGATGGGCCGGTTGGACCGTCTCGTTTTAGAGGACGTTTGAATATTTCAATGAGATTGATTTCATATTGAAAGTATAGTGGGCAGTTCAATAGCAGTCTATGAAAAAAATCTTAAACTAATACAAGTGTAATTTAAATTATCAAACAATCTTTCGAAATACACACTTAAATATATTAAAAAGGCGCTCAATTTACTATAAATAACTGTAAATCGCAAGTATTAATTTTGTGCTCAACTAATGCGAGTCACCCATGGCTCTTGTAAATCGGAACCTTGAACTTGACTTGGTAAACGCGTTCGAGCCACTTTTCATCGCAACCCGCTGTGTGGCACACAAATTTATTATGGTAATTTACGGTTACTGCCACGCGTTCGGGTGCCTTGTAAGCACCTAGCGCCGGACCGCCACTGCTATGTACATATAATATGTACTTTTTATGGCGATAATCTCTTAGAATTTAATTTCACAGAACATTGAAGCTTGTTGTCATAAATAAGCGACTTCCTGTCGAAGCTATCGAGTGTCTAGCGAAAATGCAGCTCGTGGCAAGCTCTTCGCCAACTGGCGGCTGAGTGTGTAGTGGCGCGCGCCAATTCAAGCCGACTGAAGTGTGCGACAAACGCGACTGGGAAACAGTGCTTAGACTCAAATCATTTATAAATATAATATAATGTAGGTACGAGTATGTTAATATGTTTGTTTGTGAGAATATCTTGAATTTGCGAATTTTCGCTTCAGCTAACTTGAAAGGCAGCGCTGTTGATTTCTTTGTGAATCAACATACCCACATATAGTATATGAATACCACATTTGGCTTATTTTTCTTCACATTTGCTCGAAATTTTATTTCTCCCACTTTACTGTGGTTGAGTGTAGCAAACCTAATTTAACGACTGTATGGTTTGGTTTTAATTAAAATCGTAGAAAACCCGAACAATAAATGAAGCTGCGTCGAAGACGAAAATAAAATGTTGGCGTAACTTTTAGTAGAATGAGTTGACCAAAGCAAAAACTGTAATGACGTGCTCGCAATTACATTCCTGGCAGTTAAAAGAGTATAATAGTGCTGCGCTTCGAGGATTTGAATACCATAGTAGACTGCTAAATATATGTATGCATAGAAATATATGAATATGTACTCTTAATGCCGGGAAAATTTTCAATCTACATTAAGAGATGAGTGAAAACGCTTAACTAACCTCGCGTCTACCGTCAGTTGAGAGAAATCGGTTGTACTGGGGAGTTTTTACTACTGTTAAAATATCTAAAGTTTTTCGGAAAATCAATGATGAGTGAGGAGGAGAGACGAAATCTCTCCTGTTGTCAAACAAACGGTCGTCGAACTTGCGACTTGACTTACACATTACTGTATACGGTCATAACTTCGAACTCGTAGATAATTTCGTCTATCTTGGAGCCAGTTTTAACAATAACAACAGCATGGACCTCGAAATCCAACACAAAATATCTCTTGCCCACAGATGCTACTTCGGACTGAGTAGGCAATTGAGAGTTGAAGTCCTCTCTCCTCGAACAAAGACCAAGTTTTCATCATTCCCGTTGCAGAAGCATGTATGATGATAACATCTGATGAGTCGGCGTTACGAGTTTTCGAGAGAAAGGTTCTGCGGAAGATTTATGATCCTTTTTGCATTGGCAACGGCGAATACCGAAGTCGAAGGAACAATGAGCTTTATGAGGTATAGTTCAGCGAATTAAGAGACATCGGAGCGCTAGGTCACTCCATTCATATTAATGAAAACACTCCGGCTCTGGGAGTATTCTTCATTTTCTTTTGCTTCACCCGTTGGGAGGACCAGCTGGAGAAGTACGTAGCTACACTTGGAATCTACAATTGGCGCCAAACAGCGAAAAGGAAGAACGACTGCCACACTGTTGACATGTTCTTACAGGGTATTTCCCATTTGACGGCAATGCCAAGGGAAAGGATAACTAGAATATAATAAAGAAATTTTGTACGCATACAAATTATGAGTTGAGATCGTAAATTGCCACAAAATTGAGATGCTAAATATATTTGTAGGAATGTATAGGTAGAAATATAAATGCACAATTGACCCACAAAAGCCGGTCTAACAAATTAAAAACGGTAATATTTTATGGCTGTAATGAATATAAAATATTGCTGTACCTATAACTTACTTTTGGGATTTTTGAGGAATTTATTGCGGTTTACGACACATTTTTTCTTAAAGTAAAATATATATTTGGGACTAACGTACTCTTAATTTCATCTTTAATATCTTGATTCAATGTTAGTGACACTGCCCAGACTGGAGGGTCAAATATGGTATTCAAAATACCCATTATAATTGTTGTCTACCGTCAATTGGGTGTTACATATTTTCGATTGGAGTTCAGTTCAGGTTAACAACCTTAGAAGTATAGATTTAAACAGAGTTAAAGATCAAAAAGTATTTGCCATATCCAGTCCTACCGATATTCTACGTATCTTTCTGAGCTTCCTCTTGCCAGGTGTACCGGCATGAAGTTAGCGTTTTCAAAGAAATTTATTGGTAGGGAACATTTGTTGTGAACGAGCTTTAATTTTTTTCTGTTCTTATATGTCTCAAATTTTTGACAATCGTCTTGTCTGTACCAATTAGTTTTTGTTTAAAAATAAATATTATTTTATTATTGTGTGTTAATTATGGTATATCTACTATAATACTGAAATTTGGCAGAGTTACATACATATATCCATGAAATTAACAATCTTTTCTGTTTATTTTTTAGAACACTTCAATATCTTTCCAGCTCACATGTAAGTTCCTTGTATTTATATTTAACACCTCTAGTAGATATTTCCATTTTATTACATACCGTCATAACCTCAAAAATTTACAATACGTAAAACGCTAGAACTTTTCGAGACCAAACCAAAATGGAGCATGTTTATTAGCTATATTTATGTGTATGTAATTGACGACTTTATATTTACGTAAACCGCATGATTCTTTGGGCGTTGGGCAAATATACCGAAATGACCATTAAGATATCCATTTCATTTTTACTTATGACTGCAGCTGCAATCTTAAGTGCTGAAGTCGTAAAATCATAGAGGAGTAGAATAACAGCTTTTGGCGATTTGGCTGTGCCGTCGCTTTAGGTCTTTAATTTTTTAGACTCCATGACGTGATTGCAGTGATTGTACAAATGAGCAAATTGCAATAAAAGCTTGAAGGGCCCGTTCTTTTATTTCAACCGTTGAAAATATAGAAGGTTTTTCCAAATTAACTTTTTCGATTAACTTATCTTATTAAAGGTGGGATGAGCTCAATGAGACTGGGCAATGTTACAATCTAAAATAAATTGGCAAAATTGCAAACTTCAATAAACAGAACTCCCAAGAGGTTCTATAAAAGTTACCTTGGATGTATGTTCATATGGACAGATATCAAATTTTATACATACATATGTAAAGTTATAATGAATTGCTGAAGTAGAAGGCAATGCCGCAGCCAGCTGGCTTATTATTTTAAGTCATTGAAGCATGACGCGACATTGCTACGGGTATGGTATAATACTCGACTTTGTTACTGAACGCGGGCCAAATTAGCGATCCATAAAAGAGAATCCAAAAGAAATTAAATACAATGTTTTCATCATGTTACGTGATCGATAGTTCCAACAGTTTTAATCTACTTATGCGCCGAAGGATCAAGAGTTGAAATATTAACATAAGTGGGATTCTGCTATATAAATCCACATACAGAAGGTAGCTTCAAATTTATTGATTACGATCCAGCGGCAATTAAGGCTATCCGTAGCGCCATACCAAGTCTTACTGGGGTGGGTTATGTAGCAGGTAATAACTAGACTTTCAGTGGGTAACTCGATTGATATCCTCTACAGAAGTACCCGCTCATAAAGGAGTAGAAGGAAACAACACGGCAGATGAACTGGCCCGGTCGAGGGATTAGAAATTTCCCTAAACTGTTCCAGGCCATTCAGCTCGTTCAAGGGCTGTTTGAAGCGATGTACCCTAGAGGAGCAGGTCTTGGAACATTAGCAACACTATATACATAAATTTACTTTAGAATTGGTGGACAGACCAAAAAGTTTCTACTTCAAGGCAAAAAGGAATTTAGTAATATTTTAGGGCACCTATACTTAAGACTCCACCTTGAAAAAATAAGAAAATTTTAGTCGGCGGAACGTTTAGGCGTGGAGGAGGATGAGTTGACGGAACATTATCTTTGCGAATGCCCAGCCTTCAGCCGGTTGAGACGTGCAGCTGGAAAAAATCAGGGTTTTTACCAAATCCACTTAGTTGCTGGATAAGGTTCAATTTTGCTACCACAATGGGCTTAATGGAGGGCTAAATGCGACTGCCTACGGTCTGGCGCTCATACCCCTCCCTTTTCAACAACTAAATGGGTCTCAATTTATTTGTATGTATATGTTTATTATTATCATGAAAAAATAAACGTTAAAAGAAAGTCATAATTAATCATTTTGCACATTTGTGGGTGAGTACTCATTACTGACTAAATTAATAATTTTTTTTCGTTTAAGATTTTTTAATAAATTTTCAGTCAAATTCACTTCATTATAACTTATATATGTATGCATATGTATGTAGCGATATGAACATACACGAGCAGTGATGCATGCAAACGAATTCCATTTCACTCAGACGTGAGTTCAAGGCCAAGCTTTTCAAAGTTAATGACTCGCTTGCTACTTGCTAATAAACTCCAATACATGCATACAAATGTATGTAGTATTTATAAATGCACAAGCGTTTATATCAATAGATGAACTTACAAAGTTGTGAAAAAATGTTTGAACGCCAAATATAATTGTAATTTTCAGTCCTTTGTTGTTAGAAAATATTGAAGTAAATAATGAAATATATGTAAATAACAAGTAAGGAAGGGCTAAGTTCGGGTGTCACCGAACATTTTATACTCTCGCATCAAATACCGTATTTGTGTAAAGTTTTATTCCGCTATCATCATTGGTTCCTAATGTATATATTATACAGAGAAGGCATCAGATGGAATTCAAAATAGCGTTATATTGGAAGAAGGCGTGGTTGTAAACGGATATCACCCATATTTCGTACTCTTCATTAGGGTGTTAAGAAACTATTATGTACCGAATTTTACTGAAATCGGTCTAGTAGGTCCTGAAATATGGTTTTTGGTCCATAAGTGGGCGACGCCACGCCCATTATCAGTTTTTAAATAAAGCCTGGGTGCAGCTTCTTTCTGGTATTTCTTTCGTAAAACTTAGTGTTTCTGACGTTTTTTGTTAGTCGGTTAACGCAATTTTAGTGATTTTCAACATAACCTTTGTATGGGAGGTGGGCGTGGTTATTATCCGATTTCTTCCATTTTTGAACTGAATGAAACAACTCTGTAGAGTATGGTTGACATAGCTATAGTAGTTTCCGAGATATGTACAAAAAACTTAGTAGGTGGCGTGGCCACGGCCAATTTTCCAAAAAAATTACGTCAAAATATGTCCCTCCCTAATGCGATCTTTTGTGCCAAATTTCATTTTAATATCTTTATTTATGGCTTAGTTATGATACTTTATAGGTTTTCGGTTTTCGCCATTTTGTGGGCGTGGCAGTGGGCCGATTTTGCCCATCTACGAACTTAACCTTCTTATGAAGCCAAGAAATACGTGTACCAAGAGTCATCATGATATCTCAATTTTTACTCAAGTTACAGCTTGCACGGACGGACGGACAGACAGACATCCGGATTTTAACTCTACTCGTCACCCTGATCACTTTGGTATATATAACCCCGGACTTACAAACAACCGTTATGTGAACAAAACTATAATACTCTCTTTAGCAACTTTGTTGCGAGAGTACAAATATTATACATAAATATATACATCTTATAATTATATACTGTATTTTTACCGACGAACCGATTTCGACTAAACTTTGTACGTGACATTTCTCTCTTATCTATTACACAATATATAATACTAAGTAACTTACCGAAAAGACTAACTCTGTGTATAAAAAATTGGTTGAAATGGGTAAATACTTCCCTGAGCAACCTTACACCTAATATAAAGATTTTCGAACTTCGCTTTGCCTTTATGCTGGATATATCGGCCGTTATCTGAGTTATCTCAATTAAAATTACAGAGCGTGTTTTACTCATAAAGGTGTATCTTTGTGCTCGAAAAGGTAAAATTGGGCGAAAACTTGTCCTAGGCCCTATGTAAATATTATCAGGATTTTCGAACATCCGTAAAAGTTTTCTCGATATGATTGGTGATTGTATGTGAGGCACTTTAGTGAAAAAAAATCTTTTGCTGAATATGTGTATATAGTATATGTATATATAAATTTGCTTGAATTCCAATCCTCTGGTTGAAATTTTACACCTTAAGGTATTTCCCTGAATTTGATTCTTGCGACTTGCGAGTGTATAAAAGGTTCGGTTGCCTTCGAACGTAGCCCCTCCTTACTTGTTTTATTATCGTATTGTTTTTATAATAGCCGCTGCGATTCACATAGCTTGCTCATAACTGAAATTGAAATAAATTTAAGCCGCAAAAAACAATTTTTAGAAATTTCTTAATCCTCAACAAAATGTTGTATTTTATTATTATATTCAAAGCATGAATATTTCAGAGTATTGCATTTATATACAGAAATCCTGTTAAATGATTAAACGGCCTTTCCAACTTTTTCTCAGAACTCTGCTTCAGAAGATTGCTATGCAAAAAGCTATATTGAAGCAAAAGGAAACTATTTTGAATGAAATAAATTGATTTTGGCGAAAAAACATTTTTTTAAAGTCCTGCTTACTTTGGAACGTACCTTGTAAGTTCGAATGGTCCTATCTTAGACCACTTTTTGAAACAATTGGGTAGGTATGTCAGATATAAAGAGCTGAATATACTCTTCCAAGGCGTCAATCATATCGAGCTGATCTAGACAAATTTCTTCACCTAACCCCATTAAAAATTATCCATTGACGTTTAAATCCCTAACTAGAAGTTTCCTTGAATAATTGGATTGTTTCGTTCGCTCTGTTCCAGCGTCGCCTTGTTGTAATGAAAGATAGTCCACATCAACCTCGGATCTATAACATTCTCCATTGACTGTAACATTATGGTCGGCTTCATATGTGAAAAAATGTGAACCGATGATCCCTCTGCCCATAGACAACACCAAAGTCTAACTTTTTCAGGAAGGAATGATATCTTGCGTTCCGACCAATAAATGTCCATGATTTGGAAACAATGTTCTGAAGTACTGTAAGTCAACTCATTTTAAAATGTTATGGCAGAAAAGTATTGTCTCACTGAAAACATTCATTAGAGCGACAAAATTACTTGCTATTCTAACTCCATTTATTGGTTTGGAAAGAAAGACGTAAAACCAGGCCGTAGGTGGCCGCATTTAGGCCATCATTAGGTCCATCATGCTCCCTGGTATTAGCCAAATTGAGCCTTATTCCACAAGTAAAAAGATTTAGTAAAATACATAGTTTTTTCACCTTAGCTGCCCAATGTCTCCCAAATTGAAGCTTTGAGAGCCGTGGAATGTATCATCCAGTTCATGGCTGGGCAATCGCAAAGGTAATCTTTCAGCGTCTCATCATCCTAAGTGATGCGTCCACTTTTCCAATTGGTGGGATCTTAAGGGTACGTGTTCTATAAGAAGCCTTATAATAAATCTAGTTTAGTTTATACCTGTTGATCGTTGGAATCAACAGTCTTCGAAGTTTGCCTTTCTCTCTGTTTTAGTTTATAATAATACCATTAAATCAAAATTGAGTT